ATTATAAGATTTGGTTTTGATTTGTCACTAAAAATTTCAAATCTCTATTTAATTCCAACTTTCAGGTAAGATATCTTCTTTACAAAGACAAATCAATAAAAAGAGAGAATGTTTGCTGTTATATGTTCCCGTAGTCTGTTCAATTTAGCCGCCATTGATCAAAGTGGAAAAAAGGAATTTTATTGATATTTTGGTTAATTTGAAATGCCAGTTAGAAAAGAAACGTTAATGACTATTTACTTATTTTACTTTGCTAATTACAAAGATAACCAGAAATAAAATTGACTTTAACAAAAAATGGAATGATGCTTCAATCCAACATCATCAACTATACATGTTTATCTAAAAGTCCTTGATAGTCTATGTATAACACTTGTTATCATGTACACTGAGCGCTTTGATTATGGTGGAAATATTCTATTCTAGCTGGCTATGTGAATGACGTCTCTTTGCAAGTGCCATAACGCTCACCATTCCGTCAGAAGATTTTAGCAAGTCATTCCGTTACCACAATGTTGAAATATTGATAAATATATGTATATAGAATCTTTAGTTTGATGGCATACTGTTTTAATGGAAATAATTAAGTAAGATATTCGAACATCAGTGATGAATTCTGTTGATATATCCAAATGGAAAATTACTTATTAAGTATATTTCACGAGAAATGTATCATATTAAAGCGAGAAACTGAAGTAGATATTGAGGCATTGAAATAAGATATATTACGGTAGAAGAGTATTATTAATTCCAGGTATATATCGAGGAAGAAAAGTATCATAAATCCCGGATAGATTTCACAGATAACGTGTTTAAATAGGTTACCAATAATGATAGACGGAACAATCAGTTTGTCTGTAGGTGTGCGGTGATGCAGATTTGGGCATATAAAACAGAACGTTTACCGATAAATATGGCGTTTAGTGTATTCAACATGTATAATGAATATTCATGAGGCTTATCCTTATTGTAGCGGTATTCCTGTTGTCATACAGCGACTGGTCACCTTCAACATAAATATGTTGTATTTTAAAACAACCATACACCATTGGAACCCCCGTGTTTTTCGTTATTGTGAACCATTGGTTGTTTATTTTGAGATCCTGTATTTCTATGATTGATGCCGCGGTGTGAAGACCACCAACATGACTTGAACTCCAACATGTTGCTAACTAAACCTCCACTAGCCTTTCCCACTACACCGTTTGTGACTCTTTATTAACTAACTTGCATAGGAATTCAACGGTTATTTCACTATTCTGGTACCTGAATGGCATTATTATGGTGATTTCATATTGTTTGTGACTAGTTTTATTGAGGTTGTGTGATATTTTATTGTGGATATTACCTGAAGAATAAATTATTAAATTAGGTTGGTGTTTATCTTCCATCAGTTATCAGTGCGAGTTGCACGCCCCATTAAATCTGTATGAGGTTTACAGAGGATGCTGTGTACTTGGACTGGAGTTCCCACACTGTATGACAACTAGGAATATATAGTACATGTACATAGTAATGACAATCCATTGTTAGAAAGTGCACATAACTGTTTGTTTTATTTTCAAAACAACAATTTTATAGTGAGTTAATGGATTTTTTTGTTTTATTGATATAAATGTCCGTGTGCATCGAGGGCAATCTAGTTACTCGTTGATAGTGATCATTACTATCAGTTACATGACACGTGAAGTTTTTATATAGATGTTCCTGTTTCCATACGTATGACACGGTCTGTAAGGGACCTAATGCAAATAAATTAAGGTACCTGTGTTTTAAATGACTAAATAAAAAATCTGCAGCACTTCAAATCAGAACACTTCAGCCTTATTTAGATTATAGAGGGTATATAACTGTTTCCCGTTTAATTTCATATACATTCCACAAGAATATGACAGAATATATTTTTCACGAATGCGAAGCACGAGTGAAAAATATCCATATATTCTGGTATACAAGTGAAATGTATGTGATATTTAAAAAAATAAATTTTGAAGAAAAAAGTCTTTGCGAATAGTTTGACGTTAGCCTTGTCAAGACGGACGTCATTTTGAACTGATCAAATTACATAGTAGTGACGATATATAAAGGATAGTTCATAGTTTCCCGTTTTATATCACGTATTTCACGAGTATGACAGAATATCTTTATTTTTTCACCAGTTGAAAAATACGGATATATTTTATACGAGTGAAAGATATAGGATACTCAACGGGGAACCATTCAATTTTCTTTTTCTTTTTATAAAATTTTCAACGGGAAAAAACGGAGAGGAAAACACCAGTCCAAACATTCTTAATCGATGTTCAAAAAAGGTTTGTGAATTATTAGCTCGCTTTTTAAAGTCAAATAGTCTGACGTCACACAGACAAAACCATATCTAATTTGCTTTACGATATATTCTACCATTTCATGCTGTTGTCTGGTCAGAAACGCTTACAATCCACTTTTGAATACTAAATTCGAGAAAAATCATTTGATGGAAAACCAACTTATTCAACCTACACTTCATTTGTGTCTGCACAGGCAAATTGGCGAGTTCAAATGCAGAGACTGGAAAGCGCCCTCTGGTTGGTCAAAATAAAGAAAGTGATATCTTCCCTGGACAAGTTGTAGATTTCTTATATCATCACTGTTGTGATGATACACATTACATTTTCATATCCTTTTTTGTCAAAAATGTAAAAAAAAAATATATATATATATTAAATAGATAAACTCAAAAATGTAAAAGAAAAAAAAAGAAAAAAAATGAAATATTAAATAGATAGACCCCTGTTATTTCACAAGCAATAGAGTAAAAAAAATACGTTCTATTAGATACGATTTGGTAATTATTGTGTATAACAGATAACACACTAATTACGGATTTAAATTTGTGGTTTAATGACATTATCCAGGCTGTATAACACTTGTTGGCATTCGATTTCAATATAAATGAATGATTCAGTAGATCAGAATCAATAACATTTCAGTACAGATTATGTTACGGCTATCAAACATATTCTCACACTTTATTGAAGTATATAGTAAACAGATATTATAACTCTTAAATTCAAAACAGACTCTGTTCAGACTTTAAAAAATCAGACAGAACAGCAATCATTGGTTACAATGTTGTTGTTGTTTTTTTTTAAATAAAAATCTTATACTTACCTTTGAACTTGATTATCTTACAAAACATATCTTCTAATATTTCAGTTTGATTATCCAGTTTGACTAACCTCGTCCGCAGTAGTAAATAGATATTCATCTGTATTTTATCCATCCGTGTGTTTTCCTGTCAATTAATTGTTACTTTTCATCACTTACCAATTTACTGAAAGTATCATTAGGCCGTCGTGATTCCATGATGTGTGCCTCCGCGGTCATGATCTGACTATAGTGTCCGTAGGCTGCTTGGCCGAACCGATAACAGTAATGTTTGAAATTTACACTCTTGTTTTAACGAGAGTAAATAGACAAATTTAACTACCGACAGACTGCAGTTCTAGTGTCTTGATAGTATGTATATCCCAGCATTAGAGCCATAGTGATGGAAATGAAAAGACCAAATCACTCATGTTACCGGACCAATTCATTTGTGTGACATTGAAATAATTTATCTATATACCCAAGTGAGTAGTACAGACTCTCTGGGTAGTTTGGGCTTGCAACGGAACAAAAACAAGATTTCAATTAAGTTACTTAATATAGAGTATTGCATCAGTCTTAAAGTTGGTTATTTAAACTTGAAATTCGTCAGATCAGAATAAAAGTGAAAATGTCAGAAAATGTAAGTCTTATCAGCATTTTACCTTTTTTGCGTATTTAGAACCTTCGAAACTAAATTTTTTTTGATGTTCATCTTTAATTAAAATTAAAACCTAGGGCATAAATCACTGTGATAAACACGTGCTTCGTTAATTTTTTGTCACAATATTGGGAGAAACAGAATAAATCAAAGTATACGAAAATGTAATAGCAGTTTTAGTTAGAAATGTTTTCTAAAAGACTATAACACTTGACATTGCATCCAAGATATTACGTATGATACAGTGATGTCAGCTGGTGTGGTAGGATTCTGTATCCTATTCCCTGTTACATGTAACACCTGTCCTACTTTCCTGTTATTGTATTTACCGTTTGATATTTTAATCCTCGATACTCCAGGAGATACAATCACTTTCGCTCTCTGCACCCCTAGAACGTTTTATGTATGACACCTTGTGAACAAGACGGAAGGACTAGTTTGGTCTTGTGATATGCATGAAACGGATCTCGAGGTAACATAACGGTATATTGTAATGGCTTCGATATTGGGTGTCTCTGTTTTGTAATCTTCAAAAGGAAGCCTGTGATTGGTCTTTTTTCCTGGAAACAATCAAATTACTTCGCTAGAACCTTCAATTTTAGCACGACATGTTCCAGGGGTGCAGAGAGCGAATGTGATCGTAACCCTTCGGGTATCGAGGGTGGATATTTTTGACCTGTTCGATAGGGAAGTGACTGGTGGGTGTATCACCCTTGTCCTAATATTTGTAACACCGGTACGTCATTGTTGTGTTTGATCATTTATCGTTTGACAGCCATTTGGATGAGTAAATCTATTATCATAAAGATGTATTTGCCCCCCCCCCCCCCCCAAAAAAAAAAAAAAAAAAAAATGTGCCCTTTTGAATAATTTAAGAAATATCTAAATTTACGCCTTCGATTTGAAATCCTTCATATATTGGTTTGAACCAGTAAATGTCATTTTGTCTGTGACAAACAAATAAGCTATACATGTTCACGACATGAACTGTTCTTGTCAATCATCGGTGTTATTTTACAAGGACCTTGGACAAAATATAAAAAATGAAGTATTTATGTTGTACGTGTATTATGTGAAGGCCGTTGCTGTTAACCTCACAGACTGAGGAAACATAAAGTATCTAAACCATCCACAATGCGGTAAATAGAACACAGGATTTACCATCAATATTTTGATAAATTGATTTAATACACAATTTATTTACATTTTGATCTGACAATATTACAAAAAAAAGTTATAAAGAATTACTGAGTAAAGTATAAACACGTAAATCACACCGTATAACATACAGAAACGTTTTTTGATTTGTCATCAGATTTATCAATAAATTACTGTGACTTGCACCGATATTTTTGTACATCAACACAGTTCACATCAAGTCACGTGACATGGCAAAGTTGTCCATTTATGATGAAATTCTCTGATATTTGAATTGCACTGATATAAAAGTTCCCAATTCACTGCTTCTTTTAGAAACCAATGTCATGTGACAAAATATCCCGAGACAAGGGACTTTTTTAAGTAAAAGTATCTGAATAATCTTGTTTCTTGGAACCAACGTTGTATGGAATGACCAAATGTAGCACCATCGTGGAACGTAGCACAATATGCTGGGGATAAGTAACACAGTCAAAATAAACAACATCAAAAGCGGGGGTAGGCACCGACAGTCCTTTTGGTATTAGATGCCAAAATCTGTCTTAACGTCGGCTCCTGAAACAAACAAGTTGATGTCTGTGTTTGTGACTACACAAACTTGCGTCAGTTAACACAAACTCTTTCTGAACGTCCAAACCAAGAACAAATAGGTGTCTGCCTGCCTGTGTGTGTAATACAACGCAAGGTCTACCGAGACAGTACACCGCCATGACACGGAGCGTCATGGCCCATTAGGTCCCCGGATGCACATGTTTGCTATAAAGTTCAATATCATACGTGTTTACAACATACATGTGGTTCCGGAATTTAGTGGTCATACAGGTGGTACCGGATGGTGCAAGCGGTGGTGGTGGTCGAGTGGTGGAGGTGCACAGAGGTAGTGAGGTGGAATTGGCTCGTTTTTCACTAGTGGCATCGATGTGAGATTCGAGCGCATATCCTCGATGAGTTTAGCAGACATATCGATATCTCCCCTGTATTCGTGTGGCATCATCATCGGTGGATTGCCACACATTTGCTGGTGGTGATGGTGATGGTGGTGGTGCTGCGGTGTTTGGTGGTGGCCATGGTGGTGATGGTGGTGCATGTTATGCTTCATTCCGTCATCCATCAGGTCTCTGTAGAATACACACAAAAAATAATTTATAATTCATATCACATGTACATGTAAAATACAAACACGGAAATGGTAAATTGTTATAGAATACAATCGTGTCGGATAATGATGTTTATATAACTCCTGTCCTGTTGGACAATGACGTATACAGAACTACTGTCCTGTCGGACAATGACGTATACAGAACTACTGTCCTGTTGGACAATGACGTATACAGAACTGCTGTACTATTGGACAATGACGTATACAGAACTAGTGTACTGCTCTGTTGGACAATGACGTATACAGAACTACTCTCCTGCTCTGTTGGACAATGACGTATACAGAACTACTGTCCTGTCAGCCAATGACGTATACAGAACTACTGTCCTGTTGGACAATGACGTATACAGAAGTAGTGTACTGTTTGACAATGACGTATACAGAACTAGTGTACTGTTGGACAATGACGTATACAGAACTACTGTCCTGTCAGCCAATGACGTATACAGAACTACTGTCCTGTCGGACAATGACGTATACAGAACTACTGTCCTGTTCTGTCGGCCAATGACGTATACAGAACTACTGTCCCGTCGGACAATGACGTATACAGAACTACTGTCCTGTATGACAATGACGTTTACAAAACTAGTGTACTGTTGGACAATGACGTATACAGAACTACTGTACTGTTAGACAATGACGTATACAGAACTACTGTACTGTCGGACAATGACGTATACAGAACTAGTGTACTGTTGGACAATGACGTATACAGAACTACTGTCCTGTCGGACAATGACGTATACAGAACTAGTGTACTGTTGGACAATGACGTATACAGAACTACTGTCCTATAGAAATTGTATATACAACGCGTTGATATAACAACAGCGCCCTCAAGGTACGGTGAGAGCAAGTACATGTCGAACATTTTTACGTGTCGTGGGCGTTTTAGTATATTGTCATTGCGATTGTGAGAGAGATGACATGTCAGCCGTGGTCAGGGATATTTATTTATTCTACGTTGGTTAAAGAAAAAGAACATGTCGGCCGTGTACATACCTTCTTATCTGCCCTAAGTGGGTTAAAGAGAAGGAACACATGTCGGCCGTGTTCAAAGCTGTTTACCTATTCAAGGTTGGTTTGAAAGGGAACATGTCGGCCGTTTGTCGGGGAATTTTGACACATAAGGCATACATGGAGGTGTTGTTTGCAGGCAGGAGGTACATATAAGGCATGTGAGGAGGTGTTGATTGAAAAGAGGAGTTACACATAAGGCATGCATTGGGGTGTTGTTTGTAGACAGAGAGGGGGCTCATATTAAGCACGTTTGGTGGTGTTGATTGTAAAGGGAAGGTACACAAAATGGCACTCTCGGTGGTGTTTGTAGAGAGAGAGGGCTCATATTAAGCACTCATGGCGGTGGTGTTTGTAGAGGGAAGGTGCACATAAGGCACGCTTGGAAATGTTGTTTGTTGAAGGAGGGTACACATACGGCACGCTTGGTGGTGTTGTTTGTAGAGGGAGGGTACACATACGGCACGCTTGAAAATGTTGTTTGTAGAGGGAGGGTACACATAAGGCACGCTTGGTGGTGTTGTTTGTAGAGGGAGGGTACACATAAGACACACTTTGGGTTGTTGTTTGTAGAGGGAGGGTACACATAAGGCACGCTTGGTGGTGTTATTTGTAGAGAGGAGGTATATATAAGGCACGCTTGGTGGTGTTTTTTGTAGAGAGGAGGTACATATAAGGCACGCTTTGAGGTGTTTTTTGTAGAGAGGAGGTACATATAAGGCACGCTTGGTGGTGTTTTTTGTAGAGAGGAGGTACACATAAGGCACGCTTTGAGGTGTTTTTTGTAGAGAGGAGGTACATATAAGGCACACTTGGTGGTGTTTTTTGTAGAGAGGAGGTACACATAAGGCACGCTTGGAGATGTTGTTTGTAGAGGGAGGGTACACAGGAGGCACGCTTGGAGATGTTGTTTGTAGAGGGAGGGTACACAGAAGGCACGCTTGGAGATGTTGTTTGTAGAGGGAGGGTACACATAAGGCACGCTTGGTGGTGTTTTGTTTTGTAGAGAAGAGGTACATATAAGGCACGCTTTGAGGTGTTTTTTGTAGAGAGGAGGTACATATAAGGCACGCTTGGTGGTGTTTTTTGTAGAGAGGAGGTACACATAAGGCACGCTTTGAGGTGTTTTTTGTAGAGAGGAGGTACATATAAGGCACGCTTGGTGGTGTTTTTTGTAGAGAGGAGGTACATATAAGGCACGTTTGGAGATGTTTTTTGTAGAGGGAGGGTACACATAAGGCACGCTTGGTGGTGTTTTTTGTAGAGAGGAGGTACATATAAGGCACGCTTTGAGGTGTTTTTTGTAGAGAGGAGGTACACATAAGGCACGCTTTGAGGTGTTTTTTGTAGAGAGGAGGTACACATAAGGCACGCTTGGTGGTGTTTTTGTAGAGAGGAGGTACATATAAGGCACGCTTGGTGGTGTTTTTGTAGAGAGGAGGTACACATAAAGCACGCTTGGTGGTGTTTTTTGTAGAGAGGAGGAACATATAAGGCACGCTTGGTGGTGTTTTTTTTTTGTAGAGAGGAGGCACATATAAGGCACGCTTTGAGGTGTTTTTTGTAGAGAGGAGGTACATATAAGGCACGCTTGGTGGTGTTTTTTGTAGAGAGGAGGTACATATAAGGCACGCTTTGAGGTTGTTATTTGAAGAGAGACAACGTAGGCCACGCTCGGGAATTTTCTCACGGTATTACACAAATTGCTGTAAGGGAAATTCTTAAGCACTGTACAAATAATTACGTCAGTTGGCAATTGGGGCGAAGTCAAATTGTAACGAAAATATGGAAACAATCACTTCAAACGGGAATTAAACAATGACAAATTGTGCTTAATGGGGTCGTGGCGAAGAGGTGTGTGTGAGGCCAGACTCGCGTGTGACGATGCTGATGAGCGGGACAACGTGTGAGGAGGTCCGCCACTCTAGTGGCAAGGCCGTCAACTAACACAATGATTACGCTAATTATAACACACTGGGCATCCTGAAAAATGGTGAATATCTTCCTGTTTGTCTGCTCTCGGATTCGCTGGTCCCTGATGGGATGTGAGGGGCTACAAGGGGTTAGGGGGACCGAAAGGGCCTACGAGTAGGCGTGTGTTCTTTAAACGAGGTCCACCGGACAAGAGCAATTGTAGCGGCGAGAGAATGAGGAAACGAGAATCGATTGAATGGGGCTACGTTGTGTAGGCTTGCGAACCCTCTCAAAACACTTCAATGGCATTTTCTTATATAAATCTCGCAACAACATCCTGTAGACTATGTTTTGAAGTTGAATATGAAACAATACATTCAAGCGGGTCTGGCTGTCGTGACATATAAATAGTTCGGTGGGGTAATTCAGTAAAACCCTGGCTTTTTGATGGCTATATTTGTACACTGACTCTTGCTAAATTACTTGCCTTGCAGAATCTGCATAATTCGACTTACCGTTTACCATAGGCATGCTTACTATCATTTTACATGGTACTTTCAGTTCAAATATATCGAGCGTCTCACAATTAAACTCTTTTACAAATACTGCATCATTTTAATCAAAGTTGGTGTTCATTTATTACGTTCGATATCTACCTGTTTCCAATTTCACTGTTGAATTTTCGCTGTATTTGGTGTCATAGACCAAGTTTTATTTCACATTTGTCAGATTCCTACTTGTTTGTTATCAAGAGAAACACAGAAATAGAACAAGGAAAACGATGACATGAACATCTTCAAAACTTAACAATAAGTTTGATCTATTCTAAACAAACTGCATGATTCATTAGTATTCAGCGAAAAATTTGTCTGTTTGAGCACCTCTGTATATGTGATACGTTCACAATGAGAACATGTTTTATGTATTAGATAGTTTTGATAAAGACTAGCAAGAATGATATTTTTCATTAATTTCTCCGGGTTGTTATTAAATTTCTTAAAACACGAAAACATTTAATAACAAAATCATTGTAATAACAGTCAAACAATATTAACAATTCTAGATTCGATAGACGATAACTGTGAGGTACATTTATAAATGTGTATCACAACCTCTGGGAAACCATCTACAGTATCAAGTGTATACCTGTCTCTCAGGGTATCAGCACAGTGTAATAGTGTTATGTAATAGGTGATTTAAAAGATAAGGTGGCCACACTAAGCAAGGTGATAAGCCAGAAGCTTGTTCAGAACCAAAAATACGTGACAGCCACACTTAGTAAGGTGATGAGCAAGGAGCTTGTTCAGAACCAAAAATACGTGAAAGCAACACTAAGTAAGGTGATGATGAGCCAGGAGCTTGTTCAGAACCGAAAATAAGTGAACGCTATATTAAATAAGATAATGAGTCAGGAGCTTGTTCAGAACCCAAAATACGTGAAAGCCACACTTAGTAAGGTGATGAGCCAGGAGCTTGTTAAGAACCGAAAATAAGTGAAAGCCACACTTAGTAAGGTGATGATGAGTCAGGAGCTTGTTCAGAACCAAAAATACGTGAAAGCCACACTTAGTAAGGTGATGAGTCAGGAGCTTGTTCAGAACCGAAAATACGTGAAAGCCACACTTAGTAAGGTGATGAGTCAGGAGCTTGTTCATAACCAAAAATACGTGAAAGCCACACTTAGTAAGGTGATGATGAGTCAGGAGCTTGTTCAGAACCGAAAATACGTGAAAGCCACACTTAGTAATGTGATGAGTCAGGAGCTTGTTCATAACCAAAAATACGTGAAAGCCACACTTAGTAAGGTGATGATGAGCCAGGAGCTTGTTCAGAACCAAAAATACGTGAAAGCCACACTTAGTAAGGTGATGAGTCAGGAGCTTGTTCAGAACCCAAAATACGTGAAAGCCACACTTAGTAAGGTGATGATGAGCCAGGAGCTTGTTCAGAACCAAAAATACGTGAAAGCCACACTTAGTAAGGTGATGAGTCAGGAGCTTGTTCAGAACCGAAAATACGTGAAAGCCACACTTAGTAAGGTGATGATGAGCCAGGAGCTTGTTCAGAACCGAAAATACGTGAAAGCCACACTTAGTAAGGTGATGAGTCAGGAGCTTGTTCAGAACCGAAAATACGTGAAAGCCACACTTAGTAAGGTGATGATGAGTCAGGAGCTTGTTCAGAACCAAAAATACGTGAAAGCCACACTTAGTAAGGTGATGAGTCAGGAGCTTGTTCAGAACCCAAAATACGTGAAAGCCACACTTAGTAAGGTGATGATGAGTCAGGAGCTTGTTCAGAACCAAAAATACGTGAAAGCCACACTTAGTAAGGTGATGAGCCAGGAGCTTGTTCAGAACCGAAAATACGTGAAAGCCACACTTAGTAAGGTGATGAGTCAGGAGCTTGTTCAGAACCAAAAATACGTGAAAGCCACACTTAGTAAGGTGATGATGAGCCAGGAGCTTGTTAAGAACCGAAAATACGTGAAAGCCACACTTAGTAAGGTGATGAGTCAGGAGCTTGTTCAGAACCGAAAATACGTGAAAGCCACACTTAGTAAGGTGATGATGAGTCAGGAGCTTGTTCAGAACCAAAAATACGTGAAAGCCACACTTAGTAAGGTGATGAGTCAGGAGCTTGTTCAGAACCGAAAATACGTGAAAGCCACACTTAGTAAGGTGATGATGAGTCAGGAGCTTGTTCAGAACCAAAAATACGTGAAAGCCACACTTAGTAAGGTGATGAGCCAGGAGCTTGTTCAGAACCGAAAATACGTGAAAGCCACACTTAGTAAGGTGATGATGAGCCAGGAGCTTGTTCAGAACCCAAAATACGTGAACGCCACACTTAGTAAGGTGATGATGAGCCAGGAGCTTGTTCAGAACCGAAAATACGTGAAAGCCACACTTAGTAAGGTGATGATGAGCCAGGAGCTTGTTCAGAACCAAAAATACGTGAAAGCCACACTTAGTAAGGTGATGAGTCAGGAGCTTGTTCAGAACTAAAAATACGTGAAAGCCACACTTAGTAAGGTGATGATGAGCCAGGAGCTTGTTCAGAACCGAAAATACGTGAAAGCCACACTTAGTAAGGTGATGATGAGTCAGGAGCTTGTTCAGAACCGAAAATAGGTGAAAGTCACACGAAGTAAGCGACGAACAGGGGTAAATTCCAATATATTGTAAAACTACAGAGGATATTTCTAATTGTATTTCAAATCATTTTCTATCCAAGTTTCAGGATGTCATAACGACTTGCATTGTATCGTGCATTTGTTTTCATAATGCAGGGCCTTTAATGGATATTTATATAAAAAAAAATAACCATAATGCAGGGCCTTGAATGGATACTTATATCAAATACCTAACCATAATGCAGGGCCTTGAATGGATACTTATATCAAATACCTAACCATAATGCAGGGCCTTGAATGGATACTTATATCAAATAACTAACCATAATGCAGGTAATGCAGGGCCTTGAATGGATACTTATATCAAATAACTAACCATAATGCAGGGCCTTGAATGGATACTTATATCAAATACCTAACCATAATGCAGGGCCTTGAATGGATACTTATATCAAATACCTAACCATAATGCAGGGCCTTGAATGGATACTTATATCAAATAACTAACCATAATGCAGGGCCTTGAATGGATACTTATATCAAATACCTAACCATAATGCAGGGCCTTGAATGGATACTTATATCAAATACCTAACCATAATGCAGGGCCTTGAATGGATACTTATATCAAATACCTAACCATAATGCAGGGCCTTGAATGGATACTTATATCAAATACCTAACCATAATGCAGGGCCTTGAATGGATACTTATATCAAATACCTAACCATAATGCAGGGCCTTGAATGGATACTTATATCAAATACCTAACCATAATGCAGGGCCTTGAATGGATACTTATATCAAATAACTAACCATAAACTACATGCAATAAAGCACGATACCGACCACAAGCCCACAAGATTAAATGTTTTAGATATTTTTTTTCAAACATTTTAGAAATAATTTTCAATAGGCAGACATGAAATGATTGAACAATATTTGATGCAAAGGAGGGATTACCATGAAGTTAAGTAGAAATATAGGCATGTGTGTATTCATTTTACTGGAACGTAGGATACCCCATTTGTCTTGATTTTAAATTCAATAGATGTTTAAAGATGGAATAGACACTATATCAAACTACTATTGTTCACATTGTAAATTTTAATACTTATTTATAGAATTAACACGGTTCTGAAATACCAAAATATAATTAATTTTGATACAGAATTCATAGTTTTTGCAGCAATGATAAAACTACATTGATGAAAGCAATCTGCCAGAATTTATTTGTCTTTTTTTTCTTAATTAAGATACAAATGATTCCACGGAGTTTTCCCCTACACCTACACGAAATTAATTTTTAGGAAAAGTTTTTAAATTTGAAATTCTACAAGCAACCAAACCTTGTAACTATTTTTCCCTATGTCATCATTTGGTCATTTCATTTGTGGAACATAATTGCATTCAAAATAATAAATTCATTGAAAAATAAATTTTAATATCAAAAGCCTCACGTTTTTGTCAATTTATTAAAATTGATATAAGCCTCTCTAGGTTATTTTGATGATTATCATTAACATGGTGAAGGATTTGTTTTCTGTCTTTTTCCCAATGGCCCATAAGTTGCTTTTCTCTGTCGTCATTGACAGTTAATGTATCTTTTTTCAATATCATATTTATTATCTTTTGGCATTTCTATAAATATTTATTTTGTACCGATTGCATACCAATTTTCCTATCAATATTCTAATATCATGTTTTATAATTCATCTTTTCTATACAAATAGAAGTTCCTTTTCCAAGTTATTGCAATTTTAATTGCATGGCAGGTATATGTTTAATAACACTAAGTATTCAAGCGTCAGAATATTCACATATACGTAACTATATTTACGTGAATGTTTTCGTTTCTTTTGGTTGCTTTTTGCTGTTTTTGTTGCTATGAATAGATGTCACATGAAAGAAATTATTTATTTTTGTATATACCAACACATATCAAAGCGATAAAAGTCATTCCATGGCAAGCCTTTATTTTACATAAAGAAGAGTAGTCATAATTGTATATGCCTATAAACTAAACACGATCCTATCAGTTTGTTGTCAAAATATTGAACAATTATTGTTTATTTGTAATTTGGTTAAATGGTGAATTCCCTGATATTATATTCTTTGATTTTTCTATGTTGTTATTTCGTAATAAAGTACTTAAACACATTTGATATATCAGATTTTAAAATAAAATACTGTTTTCATATTATATTTTTTAGTTATTTATTGTTTTATTACTTAAAAAAGATGATTCGGCGAAAATACTACTTTGCCAAATAAAAGAAAATCAATGGATGCATATATGTTTTGGGGATGTTAATTGATTAACACTTAACAAGTGTTGGAAATTATACTCCGAAAGCTCTCATTGGAAATGTACAGATCAGTAAAAATAGGAAATACATACTTTGTATAGTTGATGTATTCTAATTTTAAAACAGTGAAGACCTTTAAAGACAAACTGACAACAACATTTACAGGAACAATGTCATTTAAAAAAAATAACAATTCCCATCAATTTCTTGGTAAAATATCAAAATACAAATGTTTTGCCAATTGTTAATTGTAATTGTTTCAGAGGTAATAATGAATTCGACACTTTACACAAAAAGATTATAACACCATTGTTCCTATACTCTTACAACACTGATAAGTGAAAGTAGCACACAGAAAAAGGCTGATGTAAGCGATAAACATGCCCACAAAGGCTGATGTAAGCGATAAACGAGTCCACAAATACTGACGTAAGCGATATTTAAGGAACACCTTACCTTCTCATTTCCTCGAACACGAGTGGTCTACAGAAAAGAGAGAAGTATGTAATCAACAAGGCAGAATCGGAAACAAAACACTAGGCGATGTTAACAAATCTAGAACATGTAAAATATCGGAAATGTTAACAAAAATTGCAAATGCAAACCATAATTAGTTATGACGTATACAATCCTACTCAACAATACCATGAGTACGGGTAGTTCTGTATTCCAACTTTACCCGTGAAGAACCAATAAATAGTCTGCTCCAAACTTTTTATTTATATGCTGCGTACAGCTGAGCCAATGTCACTCTGTACAGCTATATTCATCCTGATGTCATACTTTCAGATTCTATTTGGTATTAAAGTATGTTCCAAAAGATAGCACACGTTTGCCTCAGAATCAGTGATGTTGACAATTATGTCAGTGTATCATATACTAGATAGTTGGATATGGATATGACTACAGATCCTAATATCGGTAGCATTTCTGTATTCCACCTCAATCTGGTGATGAACTTTGTTGCAAAAATCATAGAAATTCACTTCAGATGTTTTAACTTTTGAAAATTACCAGTCTGACAGTCTCATTATGATGTAATCTATGCTGGAAACGATTTATAGATATGTATTACTAATACTACCGGGAAGGTCAAGCGCTTGTATCTGTTTCTAGTGTGTATTTGATACTAAACACTTGAACGATTGTTCGGGTAGTGGTCATCACTTGTGATTCAGGTGTTCACAAGACTTCCTCTTCCTCTATCCTTATCTGCTGTCCACTCATTCGTAGTGTAATACGACTATTATCTAATATATTCGCGGAAGTGGTGAATGGCTACAGAAACGAGGAAGACAGACAAGATAACTGATGGGAGATCCCCACACTTACATAACTACTTGTATTTTATGATTTGCTATACCGTGAGTTATCTATTTATTAAGCACGGTATCAAATAAACACAAAATCCCGCTTTTCTACATTTTGAGTTAGATTGATTTGTACCGGAAGACGCTATACACTTTAGTGTGTTTTTGTAGATTACTTAAATATGTCCTCTATGAAACAATGCAATTACACCACACACAAAAATAGTCGGGTTTTCAAGACAAAAGCCAATTTGACAGAATATAAAACAGAAACAGAAAAATGGGTTAGTGTGATAATATATTCTGCTGGATAAGTTTCGAATCAAATCTATAATGAACAGACTATCTTTATATATAAAGTTTAATTCGTTGGGATATATAACATTTTTTCTGGGGAGGGGGGAGGGGATAGACAAACAACAAAGCTGTCATTCTCTGGTTTTTTTTCAAATTTAGTTCTGATGCGTATCTGTTCTGACAAATGGATCGATAGCCTTAAAGAGGTTTCTTCTTTTCGTTTGCATTGAGAAAAATTACATCATTTTTCATTAATAAAGCAAAATATACCCAAAATATCATTCAAGGTCTGAAGAATCAAAACAAAGGTAATTAAAACGCGACCTCAGATCCTATGACCAAAACGATTATGTTACTCCAACACCTCACCTGTTATCTCATCATACAGGGGTGTTTTTTTTAAACGACACATCAAAATATATTTTGATGAATTTAGTTTAAGATGTCCGGCTTAAAATTTAGCAGGTAAACATATACGACACCTTGAATAAAACGGCATCATTTAAAGCTTCTTCCTGTTAGAACTTAAAGTGACTACCAACGCTCGAGCTTCTAAATAATAACTATATTGACCAATCTTAAGTAATTTTCGGATATTGTGAATATTACCACGTCTTACCTGTAATCTTTGTCTAACTATATCTATTTCAGCGACAGGAGTGTACTTTATTTACTATCTAAAATTTAAATATGTAACTAATATGTTTGTTCTGGTTTTAGTATGTTCTTAACTTTAATAAATTCTTTTTATTACTACTCATGTTCTGTGTATTTCTGTTTGAATGGAAAGCATCACAAGCTATGTAATGTACACACTACCTCTCAATATCATAGTTAAGAAATGAGAATGAAATAAAATATAACCGCCGGTACAATTAAGGAAATAAAAGTGTGAAGATGTAAAAATAGCCACGTGCCATGAGTTATAATGACAACTACACTGCACAGCGTCGTGGGAGGCAGGTATATTACCGGATATTGTCCGACAGATGATCACGACCTATACTTGTTTAAGGTTACATACAGGACAGAAAATCTGTGGTAGTATCCTTTGTGTAAGGTAGATGGTCTCCGAACAGGTGTGATATATACAGGCCGTACCTACCCGTCTAACATATGTCCTTCACACATCCCTCTGGAGAACAAGTATTTACCGATTACGTTTTTTACATTTAATATTTACTTATAGGTAACTCCTGAAATAGGACCAGGAAACATGTCAAATAATACCCCCATGTGTTGTGTATAACAGATGACAGCAGGTGTCTTTTTTGCAGTGATATTCATATTCAATATCGTAACTACAAACAGTCGAGATACACATGTTACGAATCGTTTTCTTTGTTGATTTGAAGGATGTTTTAGAAATGATAAAATTTTTGATGAATTATGGATCCTGATAAATATAGATAGAGTAAATAATTCAAGATAAGGAAGAGGCTATGTATTGAATCGCCTCCTTTATATCAACCCTTCGTGTTCCTAACATCACTAACGTCTGTCTAAAACAACCAGGATGAAAGGTAGATTCAATATATCTGATCGACTGTATTAGTTACTAAATGAGTGCTTTTTACGTCTTGTTATCATAACGTTTCTGTTAAAACATCAAAATCCGATCATAAAAAGACAGATTGTTGCTATTGTAATACTGAGGGTATACTGTACCTATATTTCTGCTAAGGTGGAGTAAAAAAGAATTTTGTGACGACAAAAATCAGGCCCCCGCCGTGTGATAAAACACATGTTTCTCCCGTCATAGTAAATTAAATATTATCGGTGTTTATATATTCGTATCACGCCCGACAGTTGGGTACAATCTATACAGACATTTTTGTGTGTACTCTATTCGTTTTACACTCTGTGTAATATTCTATATTATTATCATTTCAATGTCTGCCCTGGTGTTCTTGAAGTTTAAAGTTTATACGCATGCATAAGCATAAAATTGTTAACTATGGTACTGGTGACATCCCGAGAGATAAAGTATTGAGCCCTGACGATACTGGGGTCAAGCATATACAACACTAAATTAACTCGATAGCTTTCTGTCAGTCGACTGGGTAAGATGAATTTAAAAATGTTAATGAAAACACATTATTCTCCCTTAATTTTGCTATTAACATGCAAACTGTTTAGTTGGTAATTTCTATATTTCCCATGCACTATTATCATTAGATAGAAATGATGTTATCAGTTGTAATGAATTATCATTAAAAAAAATATATTGAAAAAGGTAGCTTGATATTATGTTTACTGGGCAATATTTTCCCAATGCAGATGTATCAGAAATCAAATGATGAATCATTAGAATTAATAAACAGCTATAAAACAAGTTAATATGGACTGTTGGTGTCTAGCTGCGATTACACCGAGGTCTACAGGAGTTGTGAAATCAATCAGTCCAAGCGCCGCACGTACGGTGCGCCTTCAATAGGCGCTCAGTAAGCGCTCACTGGACATGTAATCACTACCTTCGTTAATTAGCAGTACGACCAACACGTGCAGAGATAAAACATTCGGTACGCAGACTCGAACAACGACCGTGTGCCAATCCACCAAGGTATCTGGGACGACACCCGGCAAGCCCTCACACCTGGACCCAAGTATTTACGTGGATCAGTCAAATTACATCGCATTGAGCTTTTCATCATTACAAAATGTCAGCGGATTGCAATAAAGGAAATTCAACACCACTGATAGACACATGACGACGACACACACAAGTGCCTATCGCCTCCAGTCAACGAGGCTGAGTAAATTCAAGAGAAAATTGGAAACCCTCACGAGAAATCATCCTTGTCAAAATTTTCATTTTATCATATTTCTCGGGTTTCATTGAAATCGTGGAGATATTTTGCAGCAAAACTTGCATTACATTCCGGTGGTAAATTGGGGAATTCTGTTCAAATAAACTGCCTACTGTATCAACATGTGTTACCCGAGACTCCGTAATCTGGGACGTCTATCGTAAGCCATGCTCTAATTAAGTACATTTAATGGAAGATTCTGCCTAACGATCGTCACAATTTTAATCATCCCAATGTCAACGATCTATAGTGTGTTCTTCTGTAAACACCAGTGGTACATATGTCACAGAGACATCACAGTATAGCAATTAACATGGTTTGTACAACATCTTGTCAAGTCGGATGACGAACAAATACTGGTGTACATTTTAAATCATCTGTAAGTCATCATGTGTGTTATAACATCAAAGATATCCTTTCTGTGAACTGGGTACAATGTCATTATGTATAAATACAAAAAGATTAACGACAGGAGAATTAACCGTTGCTAAATAAGACGATGACTATGTTTTATATTTTTCAACATGTCGGTCCATATGGTTAACACAATCACGTAACACGGTAACTGAAGAGGCTTTTAAACATACCGAATTTCCTTTGAAAAAGACAGTGGAGATGGAGATGAGTTCAGCGTGTATATAATGGTAATGGTAATAATGAAATGATGTACCCAAGGTGAAATCATCGAAGGACAAATCCACCACATTATCATACACTCAACAACCTGAGCAAATAAATTTGAGGAACATGTTACTGAATATTAACAGATAAGACAATGAATTACAAAAGTCTTGCATTTGAGATCATACAACGCAATTTTATAACTTATATTTTATAACTTTATAAAAAAAACATCAAGAAAATACCAACATGTCAACATAACAATAATCCAAACTCAAATTTCATAAACTAGGTCAAAATATTAACAAAAGAAAGATTTACATGGAGATACATAAAGTATAAGGAGAATAAGATCAGGTATTCTGGAAGAGTAAGCGTTTTCTGCTTCATCGACGACGCCCGCCGTGTAAACCTTGGTCAATCCAAGTAAGTAAACACGTCCAGC